ATTAAAAATATATAATATAATAATTACATATACATAATTTTTGAATCAGAGTCATAATGTAGACCATGGTCCATGGTATAACAATTGTATTTTGTGGAAGTTATAGTGTTCTAGATAGACGTGAAACTGGTTAGATAGAGTGGGCGATGCCTACAAAGAAAAAAATTTGTTTGATGGGTAGGTAACGTCAAACAGCAACAATGACATGTTCTACTTTCATCTTCAGTGGCCACAGTCCTATAAATTATGGTAAGTATGCAATAATACATAAGTTTCAGAAAAACTGTGACCCGACAAACAGGTAGGCATACCTATACATATACCTCTTTTCTTTTGACTGTTTTCTGTTCTATTAACATATTATATTAATTGCTATTCAATCATGAATCTTGGACCATGTCCCAACTGTGGACCCCTTTGCTGAGCTGTTACTCTCTGACTAAACAAACAATGCCCTCCCGTCAACCAGTCAAAACTCATGCCAATTTATTCTACTGTGGATGTTAAAAACAAAGTTGAATAAATATATATAGTACATGTGAAAAGGATACATGAATATTTTCTTTATAATTATCATTCATATCACAAGCTTTGAAAGATGATACAAGTGTATATATGTTGGCCAAAGTTCTAGAATTACCCATGTCTAATTGTGATTATTGTTTGGTTAATCCTTTATATAATAAAGCTATATGGTTTGGGGAATAATTAATGTTACAATTAATGTCACAACATCCTTTATTATTAAAAAAAAAAAACACAACATTTAAAAAATAAAATAACTATATATTATATAATCATATAAAAAATATACTTTTGAAAAATAAAATAGCTATATATTATATAATCATATAAAAAATGTGTTCAATTAGAGTTTAAATTTACACATACAAAATTTAAAATTTGCTTTCCAAATGTAATTATCTTAGTTATTATTCGTATTGTGAAAATTATAATATAGATGAAATACAATTAAGAATAGATCAATGTAATTATGTAAATTCTCTCTATGAATTTATTTAAATATGCACATAATTAGAGATTATATTAACCATACAAAATTATAATTTTAATATTAATTTTAATTTTAATTGTAATTTTGTATTCTATAAAAATAATAAATACTTGATCAATAGAAGTTCAAAAATATTATTATATTAAATAATTTAAAATATTTTAATTTTTCTATTTTTTATTTATATTTATAATAACATAATTTTTTTTCCTTGCATCGCGCGGGTGAATTACTAGTTAATATAATACTCCTATCCGTAACTTGCAATTAACAGAAGAATCTTTGAAATTAAAATCTTAGTGGAATGGGGTGTCAGCTTTGGCAGTTAATTAAACGACGTGATAGGACCGGAGTTAAGATTCCTCCAATTAATATATGATAAATAATAAGTGTGAACAAGACCAAATACCAAATACGAGTTATTCTTGAGTTCCCGCTGCATACGAATTCTTACCGTTGTTCTTAGGATGCATGAACGGTGTTCATTCTAGTATTGCACAATGTTCATGCATGCATTCTAGTTAAGTTCATCCATCAAACTATACATTGCATGTCACCTATGCAATGCACTCTTCATGGAATTTTATTTTATTTTTATCATATTTTAGTCGAAGCTTCTTCCCTGTTAATTCCCCTTAATTTTATGGTCGACTCTATAGCCGACCTTCGAGACTGGGGATGGGTTAGTTTGGGTTTAGGCGCAACAAAGGGGGAAAAGAGAAAAGCTATCTTTTATATTCATTGGTTGGAAGATTGAAGAATATTACTTATGCCTCATTTACATGCATGTTATATTCACTAATTGAATATCAAATTGGTTAGATTAGTTTTTTTTTTTTTTTTTTTTTTTTTATAATTAAAATTAAATGTTTTTGTGCTAGTTTCTAGTTTATGGTTGGGAATATTTGTTTAAAAATATAAATCCCATTGTTTTTAATTTAATTATATATATATATATATATATATATATATATATATATATATATATATATATCGACTTATTCACCACCAACACAACATACTGTTATTTTTAAGGTTGATTCTAATAGTAAAGTGTATATATATTTTTTGTTGGTAGGAGAACCATATTTTTTTTAGATTAAGGATTACTTAAATTAACAAAAACGTATAATATTATTTGTCCCAACAAGCTAGACTGTGCTGTATTGGCTATAGAATTATAATTCTATATATTTTCTTATGTTCACATTAAACATACTTGTCAAGAAATTTCAAATTTTCCAAAAACTTGAAAACAGTTAGTCAATAATTTTCCCCCTTTTGGAAAATTTTAGAATGTAACGTAAAGTCATGCTGTGTTATTAAAAAAAGGTTAAAAACTTAAAATTAATAAATAACATGACATAGATATATTATTAGTTATTTGTTCAAATTGAACTATTAATTATTATTATTATATAGAGAAAATTGCATATTTGGTCCCTGAGTTATACCCAAGTTCCAACTCGACCAGTCTCTGAGTTATGACCGTATCCATTTTTGGTCCCTCAATTATGAACGAAGTGGCGCATTTGGTCCCCGACCGTTAAAACTGACGGAAATATTAAAAAATATTTAAAATTTGAGGGGTAAAGTAGGAAATTTACATTTTATTCTCCTTATATCTAAACCACTTTTACAACGTTATATTATTTTTCACTTCTTAGCCTCTTATTTCAAGATTATTCAATTCTAAAAGCATTTCAATAACTTTAGTATGACTTGTTAGGAACCTGGCTCTCGTATAATAAACTTAAGATTTAGCACAAACAAAGAAACACTTGATCATTGTCTTCAGAAATGTGTGAAACACACTATCCTATCAATTTCAATTTTCTTTACTAAGCAACAAAGGTAATCAAACTAGAACTTTTGAGATACAAAATGATGTCAAATTTCTCAATTTGCTTTTATGAGAAATTCACCAACGGAATAACTTGTGATTTTTAGTATGTAAAATTTTTTCATATGTAACAGTCAATAATCGTTTTTAGAAGTTACAAAAGTTTTTAAAATTTTCATAACTGAATCTTAGGTTCCTCATTCATTACTTTGGTTTTTAAGAAGACAGATGATGTGATGGGTATATATATATAATATAATTTTCATATATTGTCAGGATATACGATTCTTGATTAAGTTACTGCAAAGCTTACGAAAGAATTTTACGTACTAAAAATCTCAAGTTACTCCCTTGGTGAATTTGTCATAAAAATAACTGAGAAATTTGATATATTCTTGTATTTAAATAGTTATGGTTTGATTACCATTATGTTTAGTAAGAGAAATCATAAACTTTTAGGATGATGTGTTTTAAATGCTTGAAGACAATGATCAAGTGTTTTTCTTGTTTGTACTGAGTCACAGGTTTCTTATACGAGACTTAGGTTAATTACTAACAAGTCATACAAAGATTATTGAATTGCTTTTGGAATTGAAGAACATTGAAATAGAATGCTGGGAAGTTGAAAATTTCAAAAGTGGTTTCAATATAAGAAAGTGAATAAAATGTGTTTCCTACTTTATCCTAAAATTTTAATTTTTTTTTTTTATTTTTTCTGCCAGTTTTAACGGTCAGGAACTAAATGCGCCACTTCGCTCATAACTGAGGGACTAAAAATGAATACGGTCATAACTCAAAGACTGAGTCGTCACTACCATTATAACTCACGGACCAAACTTGCCATTTTCCCTATTAATATATCATATTGTATAGCATTGTAAAATAATCTTTTAGTGCATTGAGAAAGACACAAATTTATTAAAGTAATTTTTTTGACGACATTATATATTGTAATTTTTTTTGACAAAATATATTATATTGTAATTAAGGGATTCTTAGTTTAATATACAACCAATTACCACATCAAAATAATATCTTTAGTACATGAGAGTCACACGTGAGTACGTGAGTTGCATTCTTACTAACAATCTTTTGGGGTCAAAGTACTATAAAGTCCCTGTATTATAGTGTTTTATTCAATTTAGTCCTTGTGCATTTATTCTGTTCAATTTAGTCCCTCTACTTTAAAAAGTGATAAAACTAAGGACAATTGTCCAAATCTCATTACGAATATGGTCGTAATTATTTATTTTGGACATACTAATTTACTATATTGGTGGTAAAAATAAATTTTTTTAAATATTTACAGAGTAATATATTAGTAGGAATATAAATATCATCAGCGTCACGTAACCTAAGTTAACGATAATATTAACATTGTTAACTATTGTCCTTAATTGCACCATATTTTTTAAAGTACAAGGACTAAATTGAACAAAATAAAAGTATAAGGACTAAATTGAACAAAACGCTATAGTACAGGGATCTCGTAGGTACTTTAACCATCTTTTGGTCAAGTGTAGTTTTCTTCCCCAAAAGCTTGAATCTCCCACCCCAAGGGCCCACATTTGAGAAGATGTAAATCATGGTGACTCAATGGCTCAATAGGATATCTGTTCACTTTGGACATAATTCTCACACTGCTGCCGAGGTTCAAATCTTGGTCTTAGTCTCTTCTCTCAAATATTGCCTACTGATCCAGTGAGCTAAGCCCATGCGGGCAGGTGAAGTTTAGTTTTATCCTCTTCCTATAGACACTCTCTTGGTCGAATGTGATTTATCCTTAACTTTATGTGTGTTTCATAAATTATTACACATGAAAACAGTTTATTAAATGCACACATTAAAAATGGTATCTTTGGCATTACAAATAACTCTTCAATCATTTTCTAATTTATTACTCTGTATATGTTTTAATTTGTATTGTAAAAAGTATTAGTGGTAGGATCGAGATGCCCACATTTGTTGTTCAACAATATTAAATGGAAGGATTGAAAGTTGAATGACATTAAGAAATGAGCTTGGTTGGTGGGCCAGTTTTGACTGCGAGGAGTGGACAAAGTATTGGGGAAGAGAGACCAGAGGGCCCCCTTCATAACATTATTATTCTATATTTACAACTTGCAAAACTCTTCACAGGATAAGGCCACAACCTCTAGGCCCTCCGCTCTTAAAATTTAAACTACAATTCCAATGTTTTATGGTTTTGTACTATGTTAATTGTTTTCTTCTGATTGCCCCAACTAAGATTGCATCTTTCTTTTTCCTGTTCCTTCTGCTCCTCCCCCACCCACCCACCCAGAATCCATGTGATTTGCTGCAACCTCAAAATTCTGATAAATTTGGGAGAGTAGTGTATGTGTGTCTTACCCAGACTTCAATTCAATTCCACTTAGATTGGGTTTGTTTGATTTGATTAGATTAGATTAGATTAGGTTTCATGAACGAAGGTGAGGAGGAGGATATGGCGGCGATTCCTCCATTGTTTAGGTGCCCGATAAGCTTGGATTTGCTGAGAGATCCGGTGACTTTATGCACTGGCCAGACTTACGATAGGTCGAGCATTGAGAAATGGTTGGGTGCCGGAAACACGACCTGCCCTGTCACAATGCAGAAGCTTCATGATCCTTCCATTGTTCCCAATCACACTTTGCGCCATTTGATCAACGATTGGCTCCATCACGTCGCCATGTTTGATGACCACGAAGTGTTCGTCAAAATGATTGAGCATGGCGACATCTCGGCGCTGAAGCTGAAGCGTAATCTCGAGTCTCCATCCAACACCTTGGAGCAGAAGGTTGAAGCGCTGCAAAAAGTTGTGGTTTTATCGGATGATTTGCCGTTGCACAACTCTGCCTTGATCCAATTAGACTTCTTCGGCCTAGTTCTTGATCTGCTCTTCAGGGTTTCTGAGAATCCCGTTGAGGAGATGATCGGCATTGGTTTTGCGGAGCAGGCGCTTATTTGTGCATTGAAATTGCTTCCCTTCAGTGATTTGGAGTCCATTAATAATATACTGTCAAATCAAGAGCAGTTTCTAGCCCTGTTTGAGCAGGGCAGTTTTGTGATCAAGAAAAGCCTGTGCCGTTTACTGGAGGCTATTGCATCGTCGCCGGAGACGAGAGAGCTCTGCGCCGTGCTAGGAAAATCCGGCCGTCTTCTCCGGCAACTCATCACTCTAGTCAACATCACCACCGATGATTCTCAAGTCTCGGCAGCTGCAATTAAAGCCATTTCAGCTCTGTCCTCCCTGGAACCCAACCGCGAAGCCATGGTGAAACAAGGAGTCACCGATTCACTCATAACATGCATTCTGGCCAACGCCCAGAAATGCAAAACCTGCAGCTTAGCACCAATGGCAATGCGAGGGATGGAAGTGGTTTTAGCATCGGAGAGCGCAAAAGAAGCGGTTGTGAATCACCCCAACGGGGTCAACGCAATAGTTAAGATGGTGTTTAGAGTATCGGATCATGAAGGGAGTGACGAAGCCGTGAATTCATTGATGATTATATGCCGGGATTCCTTAGACGGCAGGGAAGCCGCCATATGCGGCGGGGTTTTGACTCAGCTTTTGTTGCTTCTTCAGAGCCAGTGCTGTGGAAGAACCAAAACGAGGGCAAGAATGTTGCTTAAGCTGTTGAGATCCATGTGGGCGGATGATCCAAAACATGCCGTGTAAAACTGGGAAAAGATCGATTTGCATAAATTTGATTGTATAAAACAAGTTCTTGAATTGAATGCTTCAATTCGATTGTAAAAGTCTTACACTGCCAATTTAATGTCAATTTTACAAGTAATTAAACATATATAATGGAGTTCCACAATTTAGAACAAGATAATTAGCCAATTGATTAATTTGTCTTGTAGACTAGAGATTATGCATGATGTCTATAATTTGAATCTTGCATGGATCCTTAGCCCTTAATTTGTAACTTGTACAAATAAATGTATGTTCATTTGTAAAAGATAATATTAATTAGGTCTATCCTATGAAGATTCCTATGTATATTATTGTATCTGACCCACAACACACAAATGTTTGCTGAGATTAAGGAAGGCAAGACATTGATATTTTTTGTGAAGTGTTGAAATGTTAAACGGGTTAGTAATTAAAGTTTAAAAAAAAAAAACACATCATCATTGACTCTAAGAATCAGTGAAAACGTAACAAATTGAGCCTGAGTCAATTATAATTGGAGAATTAAACTATTTCAGTACGATTACTGAGAAGGTCAAGTTCACTGATCCATCACTGCTTGGAAAGGCCTACTAACCTATTGCACATCGATCTTAGAGACTCAGGACAACGTGTTTAAATCTTCTTTAATATTTTGTTGGGGTTGTGACTTGTGAGTGAATAAACACCGGGCCAATAGAACATAAATACATAATAATATTATTCTATTAATAGTTTCATTTGAATGGAATTTTAGTATGTAAATAGTGTGTTCCAAATTATAATAGCTAAGGACAAATAGCGGTGAATATTCCAAAAGTTGTGTCAAATTTCAAAAAGAAAGTAGAAGATGCAATACACTTGTTGCTGCCTCCGATCCTTATCATCATGAAAATATTCTCACAAAGAGTTGATTAATGAAGTTGAAGGTAATGAATTTTTCCATGAAGAGTGACATCATTTGAAACTAGCCAATATAGATAAACACATAACAGTCGTGAAAGATAAGGCCAGGTTTATATACTACATAAAAACTAAATTAAAAGTGGGTTGTAATTATTATTTGTAGTACTTAAAGGAAAAAACAAAACTCTAATTATTATAATTATATGGGTACAAGACAGCACTATAATAGTGTATTAAAGTGGGATCCTCTGCAGGAATTAATTAATAAATTAAAACGTTAAAGTAGAGCAGTTGGGGGGGTAATGTAATTAAAATGTCGAACGAAAAGAAGGTCTCCTTTGCCTCGTAATAATTACAAATGGAATGCGATTATGAAAGACAAAACAGTTTAATGTTTTAATAATCCTGTTTTCAACGATGTCTCAGACGAATGAAGCCAAACTGGGAAAACACCAACCCATTCCCCTCCCCAAAATCTTCATAAATCTAGCTTGATTCCAGGGAAAAGAGAGGAGGCTTTTGTCCTTAAAATAAAAAATTAAGTAGATTCAATCTTTTATCTTCTTCATCGATTATATTTAAGTTAAATTCTTCTTGGTTTAAACTGTTTAGTTATGAGTAACTTAAATTAATTTATCTAACTTCTTATGGTCGGTTATTTGTCGACTAGACTATGTTTATTCGGTGTACATCTTTAAATAATGATTACGAATTTTTTTTTTCACAAAAAAAATTACTGTAAAAATAATCTAAGATAAACTGGTCCTGGTACGTGGCGCACGTTGTTTGTATGGAACATAGAGACTGGAGTCTGGAGTTGGGAGGAAACATAATAAGGCCACTTTGTTGACGTAGGAAAAGTCTAAAGAGTGTTTTAGAAGGAAGATTTGGGAATGGAGTGGGCAAGCAGCAAGCGAATATACTATGGAGTCTACTATTTCGGCCAAGTGATTGAGTCAATATTACACACATCCACTCTTCCTTCTATCTCTAAACTCGCTGTTAATTTATCAATCAATTTTAATTTACTTGATGAATTAACCTTTTGTAACCGCTTATTGCTCTAAAACACTAAAATTTAAAAAATTGTTCAAAGAAAATTTTTTGGATCAATTTTTTGTAAAAGTCATTTTGCATGTAATAACTATCAACTAATAGCTAATTTACTAGACATCTTTCTACACTCAGCTAAAACTATCAACTAATAAATTCACTAACCCAATCCAGTAACAGCTATCACCTAACATCTATTTAGGGCTGTGCATACGGACGGATCGGACGGTTCGGATGGCGGTTAGGGTAATCCAGTCGGATGTCAGATTTCAATTTTGACTCCCCAATCTGTTTTAATTTGTTGACTTATCCGTTCAGTTATTACATTTTTCAAATTGGATCGGTTCGGTCGGATATCCGTGAGTTTTTCGGTTTAAAAACAATGTACAAATTAACATCTATTTAGTTTCTCTAGTGGTTTCACTGTGAGTAACATCATTCCTTTATTCTACTTGCATAGACACTTTTAATATGGTTTAGAAACAGCAACATACTTTAATGGGTGTTGTGCTTTAAGAAACTAATGATTTTTCTACCAAGCATTAATTGGGTTTTGATGCATTTAAGTATTTAGTTTAGGGGAATTCTGTATTGAAATTTAAGACTGGTAAACATTTTGAAGATATATTAATAAAATAAACAAGATGTGTGAACTTTTTGTTGCTCGCCCTGGTAAATTGTTTCTAGGATAGAAGGAAAGATCTTATTCCTAACAGCTTAGGAGAGAAACAAGATACATTAGCGATAAAGGAAATCACATCTCGGCATTGTAATATTATTACTATTATAAGGAAGGGAATATCATGCATATGCACTTGTCTCAAGTGAAGTTTGAACCTATCACCTAACCAGTGGACCACAAGCCACTTGGTATTTGGTGATGATCAATTTGATAATACTGATTCAAGATAGAGGGTTAAGTAGGGATCATTCTTCAATTGGTTTATTTTTGGATCAACATTGAGGGTCAGGTTCTATTTTCTTGCTGCAGAAAATGTTCAGACTCAACAGTACAATCCCCACCAGCGCCTCTGGAACCACGGCCCTAAGGCGCTCCAATTCTTCAACCACCTCGATCGCCACCCATCTTACGCTCACTCTGTCGCTGCATTCGACCACGCCATAGATATCGTCGCCCGGATGCGCGACTACAAGGCTCTTTGGAAGCTTGTGGCTCGGATGCAGGCCCGACGGCTCGGCCCAAGCCCCAAGACATTCGCTATCATCACCGAAAGGTACATTTCTGCTGGCAAAGCCGATAAGGCGTTGAAGGTTTTCTTGGCTATGCATAAACACGGTTGCCCCCAGGATTTGAATTGTTTCAATACGTTTCTTGATGTGCTCTGCAAATTGAGGCGTACGGAGATGGCCTATAGGCTGTTGAAGATGCTTAGGGGTAAATTTAGAGCTGATACTATTACCTATAACATAATTGTGAATGGATTTTGTTTAATTAAACAAACACCCAAAGCTCAAAACATTTTGAAGGAAATGGTAGAGAGAGGATTGAATCCAACCATAACGACATATAATATAATGCTTAAAGGCTTTCTTCGAGCAGGTCAGGTTAAGGAAGCCTGGGAATTTTTTTTGCAAATGAAGAAGCAGAAGTGTGATTTTGACGTAGTGACGTATACAACTATGGTTCATGGTTTTGGAGTTGTTGGTGAGGTTGATAAAGCTCGCAAGATATTTAATGAGATGGTTGGAGCTGATTGCAACTTACAATGCTTTGATTCAAGTGTTGTGTAAGAAGGATAGTGTGGAAAATGCTATTTTGGTGTTTGAGGAGATGGTGAGGAAAGGTTATGTGCCTAATATCGTGACCTATAATGCTGTTATTAAGGGATTGTGTCATCGAGGGAGGATGAATGAGGCTGTGAAGTATTTAGATAAAATGAAGGACGATAAATGCGAGCCAAATATTCAGACTTACAATGTTATTGTCCGTTACTATTGTGATGAAGGAGAAATCGAGAAGGCGGTAGAGGTATTTGACAGAATGAACTGTCGGGATTGCTTACCCAATCTGGACACGTACAATATCTTGATCAGCTCAATGTTTGTTAGAATGAAATCAGATGATTTGCAGTTGGCTGGCAGGTTGCTAGTGGAAATGGTTGGTAGAGGATTTCTGCCTAGAAGATTCACCTTCAATCGGGTTTTAAATGGGCTTTTGCTCACTGGCAACCAAGATTTTGCCAGAGAGATCTTAAGGCTGCTAAGTGAATCTGGCCGTCTTCCTCGTCATTTCAAATTGTGAATCTATTGCAGTTTCCTGCAAGATTATGAGTCATCCTTGTCGCACATGGAAAGTTATGAGACTGTTGATGTCTTTGTTGCTGAAATGAGGAACCTGAGATGGTAAATGACTTATAAAAAGGCATTGTACGTCTAGCAGTACAAGGATGCCCCTAAGGCTTGAATGGTAAAATTCTGAAACCCCCACCCATGTCATTAATTCCAGTAAAGTTCTTTACCATGTCATAAAAAGGCATTGTACGTCTAGCAGTAAAGTTCTTTAACTCCAAAAATTGTGGAAGCATTGGTGTGTACACAAGATTGACTTAGAATGCAAAATACTACATAAGGGAGAATCTGGAAGAGTTGGAGAGGTTTGAAAAAGGTATAACTTTAGGTCTTTACTCTTTAGTAGTTTTGTCATTAGTTTTTTTACTGTTTTATACTAATACTTATATGTTTATTTTGCAGAGTTAAGTGCTGATGGTGGAAGTGGGAAGTCTCTTGGTTCTACACTTGCTACAGTTCCTGTAATGATATTCTTGACATTAGTTGATTTACTTACTTGATTTTTTTGCAATCTTTTACAGTATTTGACTCAATTGCAAACTAATCGCACTTGGTATTTATTGAGGCCATTGTGACTGAATGACTGATGTTATTAGTTACTGGCTTGAATGCTTGGACGTCTCACATCTGTAAGACTGACTGTAACTCTGTAAGTATGAAGGTCTGGTAACTTTTACTAAGTTGCTGCCTCAAGTAATCCAGTCCCTTGGGCATTTGGTTGGTAATGTATGAACTATTGTCTATTTTATTATGTTTCTTTCCTTTAAGTTGGCATTTGGCAATGATGAAGCTTCCACCTTT